TAAAAAAAAAACCATCCTACCTTTATTTCACCAATTAAAACACGATCCGATATTTCACGAAAACAATTCGCAAAAATAATTACACCGCCCGCATACTTTTGCCCAACATCATCCCGCATTATAAAAACCCCCGATACATCAATTTACCACAAATTCAACCGATAACCGATTCGAAACAACCTTCTGAACATCCTGTATCTGTCATCCATTTTTCGTCAAAAAGTTAACGGGTGCAACTTTCATCGATACCCATTTACAATGGAGTTTTGAATATCTAACCAAAACGTCGAACGTATCTGTTCGAGTTTTCCTCTCTTTTCTCTTTTTTCTTTTTTTTTTTGCTCTTTCGTTTCGACGGTTTGGCGGAAAGTTTACAATTTCATCGAGCCGTTTAAAGGATTAAAAGGCATCGTGGAAGGGGGAAGGGAGGAAGGGAAGAAATAAAAATAAAAATAAAAATAGAACGGCGAAAATGTACGAAGCGCGAGACATGGACACGCGCGTTAGGCGGACAAATCGTAAATGGCGTGGATATCTCTCCCAGGGTGCCAATCGGGAGAATTCCAGCCCGAGTCGGATCACGTGGATCGATGTCACGAGCTTTGTTACAACAAGTCCGATGGACAATTATCGTCACACGTGTCCTCTTGTGACGTGCGAACGAGGAGGGGGGCCGACAACGGCCGACCTGAATTAGGAACGATACTGCCCACTTTATTTCCATCCTTCCTTTTTGCCGTCGATCTTTTGCCTTCTCTTTTTTCCTATCCCCGAATGGAGATTCGTTTTATCAAACTGGCTGCCAAATTTGATATTTTTTCTTCGTAATGTGGCGTGTTACTTTTTAATTGTACGATTTTTCAGAAATTTCAACTTGGTGAATGATAAATCGAAGAAATCAGACGTGCAGCTTAAGTTTCAAAGTAAAATTGTCAAAAAAGATAAAAACGAATGAACGATGAAAATTTTCTTGATTAAACAGAAGTATCTTAGAACTTATACCTATCCTTTAAGCATTCTTCTAAAAAAAAATATTCGAAAAATTTTAGAGATCGATTATATCCGTCAAGAGAAAACTACCCCTTTTGAAAAATATTCCAAAAAAATAGGAGAAATTCCTAGGATGGAATATCGCGGATCTCTCGCTCCCGTGTCATAATCGCAAAGATCTCGAAAGATCTCGTTCCACGGTTGCAATAATCGGTTGCGAAACGGCCGCAAAGGCTGGATTTCAGGAAGTCGGAAGGCGAGAGCAGCGCAACGGGAAGAGTGACGATAACGGGGTGGCAACAAGTGCTTTTAACGCCCTAACGGTTTCCCTCCAGGCGCCTCCAGGGGTGAGGACGGTTCCCGATGCGTTATTCTCAAAGGTCTCGGTTGCTGCCCTTTAGGCGAGGGGAAGCGGTTATGGAGCTAAAAGGGGAGTTACAGGATGCCACGTCGCGGCATCTCGAATGAATTCTTAAACCGGGCCGATGCGATGGAATGCGAGGCAGCAGCCTCATTTCCCGAGCCATCCTCTACGCCTTTTCCTTCCATTGCATCTTTCCACCGCCACCCCTTTAGCTTTAGCTTCCTTCCCTCTTCGAATCTCATCTTTCTTGGAAGGTATTTGGAAAAAGTTTGACGCGATTGATGGCCATCTCATGTTTTCTGATATTGAATATTCTTCGTGTTCTTATTCTTCGTGTTTTTATTCTTCGTGTTTGACAAATGAGTGCACTGTTTTTTTTTTTCTTTTAATAATAACGATCGCGTTATTGTAGCAGTAGCCTACTTGTCAGACAAGTGACTTACAATTACATACGCTTGCTAAAATATGATTATCTTTTGTCATTCTTGGTCTTTCTGTTTGGTGAATGACTAACTTGTGCTATTTGCTTAATTGTCTTGTTTCACTTGTTTAACAAGTGGCTGACTTATATTACTTGTTAGGGAAGAAATTTGATTAGAATATCTAGTGAATAATGACTGTTCATCATTTACGAGTAATAATAATTAATCGTGTGCTATTGAATGAGGACGATCCTTTGTCGTGTTTCACTTTGTGAATGTATAAATTTTTAGAAGATTTTAACTTGTATTAAAGTCTAATTAATAATAACTTTTATATATAATTCGAAATTTGTATTGCAATAAGAATTTTAGTAATTTTATTAGATGAATGTTGATTATATTTTAGTCTACCAGTCGATCAAAGAAAGTAATATTTCCACGTACTTGAGCCACTTCTCGAAGAGGAAGTTCGCAAGTAAACAAACGAAAGAGAGTAACATTTCCCCTAGCCACTTCCAGAAATATATAACTCTAAATCTAAGCTCTCAAGTGTTCCTCAAATTTATTTTCATTACATTGGTTATTGCGTACAAGACCAAGCAATGAAAAAATTCCTTTAAATTCTAATAACTTTAATTAAAACTTTTATAAATTTGACAAAAAAAAAGGAAAATTTTGGAAAATATCTTCCACATATAAGGATATATGATATTTAAAATTGAAAAGTAAAGAGAAATTATTTGAAATTGAAAATTATTGTCTAACAAGTAATATATATATTATGATATTCAAATGATATTCAAATTTATTCCAATATTTTCCAATTTGAAAGATTATAATTCAGAAATACGAATATTTTATTATTCCATTGCACGTATATACATATCCAATATATTCTAATGTATATTAAATTTCCACCGTTTATTTTTTTACACGTATATATGTTCCTTCCAATGAAACAACGCTATTCAAACAAAGAACGAAACAGTATCCCATATTTAAATAAGCTTCCCAGCTCGTGTTCGATACTCGTGAATATTCGTATGCGTATCGGAAAAAACGTCATTTTGCCGAAATTCGATTGATTTCGTTTCGACAAAAATTTTTTCCCCCCCGATTGAAATTGGATTTCACCAATTGCATTGGGAATCGCAATTGAATGTTTGTCGAAATCAATTGTACGAAATAAAGTGAAATTGTTTGAAATGAAGACACTAGATTTGCATTGCGACCGTGCACGATTGGAAATTCGAAGTAACATGATTTATTTTCGTTCTATTGGATATTGCTTTCTATTATTGGGGAGAATTTATCCTCATTTTCGAAAATCTGATACGAAAACAGGAGAAATTTTTCAATTAACACTGATTCATTGTAATTTTGATTCATGATATATCTATAATATATTCGATTTAATTTATCTCGATAAATTGCTCAACAAAAGGATTTAAAGTATCTAGATATCAAATTTCTGAATCTAAAATGTCAATTATAAAAGCCTTCGTTCACTTTATTGAAAACTTATCTATCTTAAAAAATCTGATTTCACAATCTATAACTTATGTAAAGTATAATGGAAAAATCTTCTTGAGTGCGTGAAATCAATTTCCAAATTTTCCAAATCATTTCTTAAAATTTTCTTCCATTTTGTATACATCACAAAGTTATACTTAAAAAAGTAAAAATAATATTTCAAGGATTGTTTTCACTCTCTTCAAATGATATTCCATTAATAAAAAAATGGTCTTGAACACACTTAACACACAATTTACTGGTTTGGAATTTTGATAAACCATATGAAGACTTTTGCAACTGTAAAATTTAAAATTATCAACACAAAAGTATTGACACACAATACAAAGTCAAAATTACAAATTCGATTAAAATTTCGATTTGATGAAAAACATATGCCATCGAATATTGGCAATTGGGAAGGAAAATTTGCAATTGATCTCTTCTGATAAGAGATGCCTCTATTTCATTGCCATCGATGAAATCGATCCCCCCACACAAGTCTCGTATCAGTTTCGTAATTCAATGGCCGGAGGGAAATTTTTCTCGTCGACATTCCAGATACACTCGTAAATTCGGTTATGTCATTATCAGAAGGTGCGTCCCGTAAATCGAATGAAAGTGTTTCACGTTGGGTTGAATGGCCGACGGTGGTGTTCTAAGGGCGCGTAATATGGGCCGCAACCGTCCCATGCTACGTCTTGGCCGAGGGTGAACTCTGGAGGAACGGTCGATCTGCCAGGAGCAGACGCTTCACCAAGGGTTCAACTTGATTTACACCCCCTTCTTTCTCTTCTTTCGTTGGTAGCCCAGGAAAAACGTTCGATTCTTTTTCGAGAGGGACCAATTTGGATAGGTTGAACGAGTCGAAAGTGGAGAACGATTTCTCTTTTAAGTGTTTAAGAGTTCGTCAATAACTAAGTTTATGATTTTATTTGTGTTATCGTGTAGAAGATTCTCTTTGTCTGATATTATCTTGTCGATTTGAGCTTGAAGTTTGAAATGAATGATTCTCGTTAATCTATATTGTTAATATAGATTGCTGTATACTTGTTGTTGCATATTTATCTAATATTATTTGATCAACAAGTGAATTATAGTACTTATTTGTTTATGAATTACTTATATTCTGTATTTAAAAAGTTTAGAAACTTGTATAATGTCTATAATTATAACTGTCTCATTTATTGATGAATAAATGATCTATAATATATGAGTGATTAATTACTTGATCACAACTAGTTTATTCCTCGTGTCTGATAAATGATGATCTATAACATCTGTATATGCTCCTCTAACTATAACTCTCTTAAACTACTTGGTTAATAAATGAACGACTTACACTACTTATAACATGTGACTAACTACATAGTTAATTAAAATTATTAAAGAACCGTAATTATCTCAATCTATTTAATCATAACAATCATAATATTCGTCTGAATTTCTTGTATTTTATTTAAAAAAAAATTGAACGAATTTAAATATTTATTTCCCTTTAAATTATTTCATTGCTCAAATAATTTTTCATCTCTTTTAACGTTTAATATTTAATCACGAATTTCTCTCGGTTGAAAATAAACTCCTTTGATTATGGTCATTTCCCGTATTTGCAAAGTGAGAAGATATCCATGATGTCTGTTTTTCCTCGAAACCGTTAAAAAGGCAACTTCGAGGTTCCGTTTCTACACAATTTTTGCTTTCTGTTCCAGCGTGAAGACGGACATGGGCGCCAGTGGCGCGATATCCAGGCTCTACATTGCAAACGCGAATAAAAAAGACAGCGGGAATTACAGTTGCGCATTGGCGGATGTGGCGGCCGCCACCACGGTTTCCGTCCACGTATTAAATGGTACGTTTGTTTATCATGCGTGGTTCGATTATATCCAGATCAAGTGTGTATTTATCTCTATTGCATGTCTCTTTTTTTCTTTTTTTCTTTTTCTCTTTTTTTTTTTTCAATTGGTCGAGCGTGTATGCTTGGGTGTGATGTGTAAATTTGCGAGATACGTGTTTGCGTAAATGGTGGCCATTTTAGTAATTGAGCTCCGTGGTAAAAGTTTGCTTGGATGATTTAGTGACGCCATTGTTCATTTAATACTTTTGGTAGCTCGAATTTTTTCCATGAAAAAGATTTACGATTTTTAGACAAATTTCAGAATATTTTCTGAATATTCAAGAAAGAAAGTATTTATCCTATTCTAATATTATTTGGATCGTTATATTTTTGGCCTTTTTGAATAATTATTGTGAATTATTAGAATTTAATCAGAATTTTTGGCTCAATCGTTCGAGATCGTAGAGAATACGTACATGTGAATGTAAGATTTAAAGAATTTAGAATATGATTTTTCATAATAAATCACGTTGACAGAAATGAAATTTTAAGAATGATATATTAGAGTGAAATATCGTTCATTGAAATGGCAAAGTGATTAACGAGACAATCAAGACACTAAATGTATTAATGAAAATTTCGAAACTTTAAATATAAATTATTGATGGAAGAATAGTATTCTTTCTATAATCTTCTTCACGAGAATTGTAGAATTAAATATATCATTAAATTTTCATAAAATTTTTCAATAAATTCATGCTCTTTCTTTTAATATTCTAGCAGATAAAATCGATTATTGATTCAATCCTTTGTCGAATAATCTCGAAAAGAGCTCTCCAATTTCAATTTTCATGGAATATCCATGGGAATCAAAAAATTCTAAATTTAAAAATTCTCGTTATTTTAACCGGATATTATAACCAGAATTTTTTAAACTGTACAAAAAATTGTGAATACTTAAATCCATATAAGTACACATTAATTATCCATTTAATAATTAACCTTCGTATCTGCAAAACATTATGAACATTATTATCATCCTTGCTTTCTCATCCAATCATTACTTTTACATATAAATATAATATAAATAAATATAATTATTTCCATTTCATTTTCTATTAAATTTTTGATTCCACATTCGGTTATTCGAAACAAGTTTTATTTTCTTTTAAGTACACCCACAATAATCGTGCATATCTTTTATGGAAAATTTTGAATGCGCGTCAAAATAAATTATGCGATGTAACAGGAAATTATGCACAACGACCACGCGTGCACCACGTTCAATATCGTGTCTTATGAACTTGTATAGGAACAAAAATACAGGAATACGAAATTGCATGATATTTTCAAGTGAACTCGATGAAAATCATTTATACAGGTTTATAACATTTATATTCGAATATATAGAGTTGTGTAGAACGGATCTGTTTTATTTGTTCGTTCTTCAAACTAAATCCAGGATGTTGAAACAATCGACATGGTGAATAGAGGAATCGAGGAACACGAATCAGGTTTTAGGTCGATTGTCAAATGCGTGTATGCTTCGTAAATTTCAGATCAAAATAACTTCTTTGCATTCGTGTGTTTACACGTGAAATTTTGCGATTGTGTAATGTATATAGATAAATTTAGAATTATATGTAAATTAGATAAATTAAATTCTTCGTAATTAGAATATTCAATAGGCATCTGATAAAATATTTTGATTAAATGTGTCGCGTTATATGTATATTTATTTATCCGAAACTGAAAAAAATTAATCAAAATTATTTCAAGAATTTTAAAAATCAATTTATTTATTTATTATTGATAATCGAAATAAAATGTAAAGCCGAGAGAGAGAAAAAAATAAATATAAAAACAAATAAAATACATTCGTTCCATTCGAATATTGTGATTTTGTTTAAAAAATTATTCATCTTCCCAGGTTTTTTACGATGACGTTGAACTATGAAAACGTTTCAGGTTAATTGGTCCAAACAACAATTCAGTTCTGAACAGATACTTGTTTACCTCTATTCGATTTATGGAGATTGGAACAATCTTAGAAAGAACTTAATTTCTTAACGCGAGGCGAGTTCACCATTCGATAACAATGTTTCGTTCCCCAATTGTTGCATACAATTTCTTTGTGCCTCAACTTTGAAACGAAATGGTCTTCTCGTTACAATTAAATTCTCATCGGCTGTTAAATCGGCAGAAATTTTCAAATTGTCGACGATGTTTTGTTCGTGTACGTTTCCATTCTGATAAATTTATTCCAACAGAGAATAAAATCTCTTTCCAGGTTATTCAATCGTAAGAATTTTTCTTCTATAGGAAAATACCGATTCAAAAATATTTTATTCGAAATTAATCATATTTTTATCCATTATACGGAGAATTATCAATCAACAGTTCTATTAACGTGTTCGTGGGGAAGATATGTTCGTGTCAGAAATAGTAGTTAACGATGCACTGAGTGTTCCATTCATTATATTGTATATTGCGTTACCATTTTCCCTTGTTCAGCGTTTTCTCTGGACTGCGTCCAATTTTCTACACGGGACCACCTGCCTTTTTTCCACCCCGATCTCCTTTTTCCTCTTACTAATATTAAACTTCGGTATCCAGCGAGCTGGTATGTGTGTTTTTTACGCGGAACGTCGACTTTGGTTTTAAGAAACTTTGTAATTTCGTAGCAAACAGTGTCGTATAGTATCGATAACGAACGTTTTCACTTAAGGCTGGATGATGTAAATTACATTTACGAGTCTGTGAAAAATGTTATTATATCAGATATAAAGTTTTTTTCACATATACAATTACAAAATCCTTTTTAAAATGAAATACGATACGAGTCGTGTTCGATTAACTTCGAGCATTAAATCGGCCCGCAAATGCACGAGTGTTGTTTAATTTATTCGTTAAATTTTGAATGATTTTAAACAGTTGGAAAATTAATCATTTCATATGCAATTTAATATTACATATTCATGTTTGTTTGTTCAAATCTGACTCGCTGGCAATCGTATCCGACACTACGAGTTTTGTAATTGGCCAGTGTTTTTCATTGATAAACTCGTCCAAATAAACATCTTTGCAAAGAAAAAAAACTTGCTTCAAATCATCTTTCGAAAATCATCAGTTATTTCCAAAACAATCTTCTTATTACGGTAATAATAATTTACTATCATGATAAACACTGTTTTATTAAACGATGGACCACCAATGGCGATCGAAGATCAAATTAACTTACCATAAAATACACTAAGTACTTCAATTTCATTTCTTCAAGAATATTTTTTCAAATAAACGAACAAATGAAACAATGATTTTCCGTTTTTCCACGAAAGCCTCGATTGCGAAAAAAATTACGATCTTCTTCAATCGTGAGACGGAGATTGCGCGAAAAGAGAGCCGAATCGGAAGTTGTTCGTGAGTGCCACTTCTGGCCGGCGTGCTTAACACCAGACGGTAGGCTATTTTCTTTCCGTGGATGACGTTGTCGGTTATGTAAATGTCTCGAGGGAAATGAAAATCGAGATGAAACGGAGGAAGAACTGGCAATCGAGCGAGCCGTCATTTCCAGAATTTTCATGAGATCGTGTCACGTTTCGTAATTTCTTCGATTATTCATCCATATTTCGAGGTTAATACATAAACAGAGAAAAAGAAAGAGAGGTGGAGGAGGATAATAGATAGAGACTATGGAGAATCAATTATGAACCGTGCAAAACGGTGGAAAATTATATCTAAGGGTGGCTATAACCTTTTCCTTCGAGCCTCCCAAACACCGTTATCAGTGAGGAACAGAGCCCTCTCTGCTCCTCTGTAACACGAAGCATACGCGGTCTGTAGACTCGATTTCTCGATAAATTGTTAAGCAAACGTGCCGTGCGTTATAGTTATGCTTTGAATCTGAATTTTCTAAAGCGTTTTATAAAGATGCGTCGATAGATTTGATTCGATTTGGAGAGGAAGATTAGAAAAGTGTGACGTAACCTCAAAAGATAGAAGAATTTTATGAGCAATAATATTTTAAAGTTGTAATTGAGATTTAAAGAAAACTCGTTTAAACATTAATTACATTTTTGTGATAAATGTTTTGTAATTTCTATAAACATTATTCCATTAATTTCAAATTTTGTAGGTATAATCTTAATGGTTATATCTTGTATCTTATAAAAGTTGTAATATAATCTTCGATACTTCTTCTTTAAGTTTAGTACACATATTTTAATTATATAAAGTTTTAACGATGCTTGGAAAATTATCTTCCTCTGAAATAAATTGAATTAAAATTTGCATAAACTTCTTCATTCTTCATAAAATATTTTAACTATTTTATATTACTGCAAATGAGTAAAGATATTTTTCTCAAATAGGTTAATCATTGCACTAAAATATATAAAATGTATGTTTTTTTTCTAAATTCATATTAAAATACAATGCTTTATATATATACAAGTGCTTGTAGATTCCATAAAATAATATCCTATATTCTTAATATTCTTCTTAGACATTCTGTCTTTGACACATCATCGTTTCCTCTTCATTCAATCCAAATTTAAACTGTTCATAATTTAATAAACAAGCTTCGATCAACATTTTCGTCAATATTTTGGAGAATCAATTTTCCAAAAACATTTCATTAATATATCGACAAATACAATTGCACGTAGCTTATCGATGGTAAACGAAAAACATAAACAGAAAGTTCAATGATGGTTATAATAGCGTGAACATCAACAACAACAACAATAATAATCCACAGAGTTTGTCACTCCACCATAATTAACTGTCCTGTCAAACAATCCAATAAACAATTTCCAATCACCACTCAAAAAAAATATAATATTTACGATAAATCTTCTACATTTAAGTTGCAAACTTTTTTTTTGTATATTTTTTGTATATTGTATAAGTTTCAAATTTATACTCCTATCTATTCGTTCGTTCCCTTCAGCTATGCTTTCTCGTTTTCCTTCCGGTTTCCGATGCTCGAGGTGTTTCGTATGCGACTTGCTGCT